TGAAAAGAATGTTTTCAATGTTTGCGGTCTGAGAAAGTCTCAATTGAAAGACTAAATTAAGTTAAACGACACGCACACCGAATGTTACATGATGCGTTAATGTACAATCAAGAGCTCCATGCGTTTATTTGAGCTGGGAGGTGTATTATCTCTATTGGAAGGCTTGTCATTAGCAATAGCGCCCCAGGCTGGTTAATTCACTCACCACCCAAACCAGTTGAGCCTGGCAGCCAGATACTCATGCTCACGTAGTGACCCATGACCCAGTCTCTACTGCCTCCTCCACACAGCCCCTGGTACGCCGCTCCATGGGAGAGAGAACTTGGCTAAGCTTTACTAAAGATCCCCCCTAAGGCACACGCTTCTCCCTTGCCACAGAAGAAGCAGCAGCAAGAGCAGCAGGAGCCGAAGCGAGCCCGGAAAGGCTTGAATCACCACTGTGCTAGGCATCTGTTTGAAAAGCTCCCCAGCCCCGGCTAAGTACAACAGAGCGCTAATGTCTGCGAGGCTGGTGGTGACCCCGAGTGATCTGTGTGTGTGTGTGCTTGAAGGTGTGTTTTGGTCTTGGGGAATTTACATGTAGGTGTGTGCATGTATGCGTATGCATGTGCGTGAAGAGTGCTGTGAAATGAATCGACGCATTATCACGCCCCTGCCTCTGATCCCCTCAGGCCCTGGAGGCTGTGCTGTTCAGAGCCTTGCTGCTGTGTGTGAGTATGTGGCGCCTATGTTCCAGCACTCGCTCTGGCTGCTGCGTCTGCTCCGTGGGAAGACTGCTGGAGGGTCTCCAAAGCAACTCTCACTCCCCTCTCTCATCTCTCCCACCTCTTATTTCGCTTCCTTTCTCCCTGTCTCTCTGTACTTGAAGGGTCTTGGTGCTGAAAGAAACTTCGGCACCCTCTCACATTTTTTACTTTAGCAAGTAGTTATCTTCTTATCTCTTGGTTACAGGCTATATTAATCATTCTCGATAAACAGAATACACAGAAATACACAAGTGAATATACAAATGCACTGTGCAACAAACTAGTACTTAAACAATGGAGGCAACTGTTTGCATGGCTTTTTTGGTTGAATTTATTTACTTGATAATAATACTGAACTTAAAATGTCACATCGTCATGGCTTTAAATCGGTCATCACTGTAAAAATTACCAACTTAAAGGAATAGTACTTATATGTCATCATGTTGTTCCAAACCTGTATTACTTTATTTCTTCTGTGGAACACAAAAGAAGATATTTTGAAAAATGTTTCAGTGATTTTTTATGTATACAAGGAAAGTCAATGGGGTCCAATGTCGTTTTCATGGGCAAAAACACAAACTTTTGTGTTCCGCAGAAGAAAGAACGTGAGAGACCTTAGTCAGTATAGTACCATATTTCATTTTTGACATGAATGAAAACGAGCCTGTGAGGCATATGTACAGTGGATTCAATGGATTGTACTGTTATTTTAAAAACATACTGATTGTTTAGCTGACTAAATGTCTTTCCGGAAAAAAAATGTCAGTAGACAAAAACTCCATAAAACTGTTTTGGAAGTTGTTAGCTGTGAAAATTACGTGATCTAGGACCTTTATACAGTGTGTGCCATTGTAAAGATTGTAAGTCAATCTCCCATAGCCTCGTTTTCATCCGTGTCAGTTCAATATGGCATCTGCTCTATAGGTTTAGAATGACAATCGAGTGAGTAAATAATGACAGAATTATCACATTCTCAGATTTTTTTCAGCTGTAGCATCTTAAAAAGATTTCCCTTCAGTTACGTTTAAATTGTACAACATTACAATTTAGGTAACATTTCAATCTAAGTAAACTAACAACTAGATTTTTTACTGTTTTTTTTTTTTAGCATTGTTTAACTGATCTAAGAATAATTTTCCACAGATAAAGACATTAGTATAATATGGATATCTGCCAATGCCATATTCTGCATTTCAGTAAGCCATCAAATGTGACTGACAGCTCCTTGAGTGAGGCTGACACCCTCACTGCCGGCTGTCCGACCTCTTCAAGAGATCCCTATGAGCCGTCAACAACAACTTTCCTTTGGCAGCTGGCATTCATCAGTGGCTTACACATTAACTTTACACAGGCTCTGTGATTGCAGCTCAGCTTGTTTGGGAGCATGCTATCTCCCACTTTCTCACGTACTTTAGTCCTGATTACATTATTGCTGTGTGTGGACAGCCATGGTTGAGAGACCTTGATAAAGATATGATTCTGACAGAGAGAGAGGAGAGGGGTGGAAAGAGGGAAGTGTGTGAGTGTGTGTGTACGTGAGTGAGCAAGATAGAGAGAGAGAAGCAGTGACAAAGACTTTGCTAAGACATGAAAGTATTGCTTTAACTATACTTATGTCAATAAAAGTGCCAATAAAACAGAGTTATACAAAATAATATGGACTTTTTACACAGCCATAATTAACTTAATTGCAGAGACGTATGCTCTTCTTCATTACTGCAATTCAGTATGTCAGCGATTCATACACATTGTAACAATGAGCCTATTTTTTCATATAGACACAATAACGACATGATCTCACAAAAGGTAACACTACAGAAAAACACACATGGGACTTGCAGCGTCCAGGTGCTCAAGGGGAGGGGGGTTAAGGGAGGGACAACGCAACCTGCCCGTAATTCAATGCAGCCTCTAGATCCCTTGTGCAACACGAGCATGAGAAAGTTACTCATGCGGAGACTAAAGGCTTCTGAATCTACCGGTCTTTGTCTACTTGACATCAATACATTTGTTTTGTGAGTCCTTTACAAGTGTGAGAAAGAACGATGAATCTGTTTCGCAGTGTAAACAAATGCGACATTGAGTACTTTGAGTAGTTATTTATTAAAAATGTGCAGAGCTGGAAAAAAGAATTTTCTTGCTTTATTGTAACACATTTTGTCTGCAACTCAGTGTTTTGTGTCTCAAACTTTGATATAATATTCCCATATTTATCTGCTTCAAATTGACGTTTAGAAATCTATACTTAACCCTAAACTGTGTAAATAAGTGTGAAGCACAAAGAGTGATGTCTGTTCCAATCTACCCCCACTTTTGGGGTGGGTTGTAACACTAATTTACTTGTTCAAAATGATTTTGAACAAGTAAATTACTTGTTCAAAATCTTGTTACTCCATCACCTCCCCCATTTCATAAGCATTTGAATTCAAAAGCATATGCAAATTAGAAACATTTTAATTCATAACAGCTACTAAAATAGAAGACATGCCTGGTCAGCCATGATATTTCTAGAAGTTTTTTTTTTTTAAACATGCAGATGAAATGCATATAACATTAAACAAGAGAATATTCTCTTTCAGTTTCCAAATGTAACAGTCATTAACATTAATTGGTTAAACTGAATGAACTTCAACAGCTGTGTCTCCTACAAAAAACACATAAAATGTACAATACAATGTTCGTTATTGTAAAGCAAAAGTGATAAGAGTAATGAACAAACTGTAATTGTTTTGTGGATCTGATTGCAATTATATGTGTATTATTTATTTATTACCATAGTAATGAACTAATATCAACATCAGTAAGAATTTTATAGCAGAAACTGAGTAGATGTGATTAGAAACACATATAACAATGCAGACTGTTCAGCAGCATGCCACTATGATATATCACGTCATGAACTGCAGGCGAATCCCCCCCCGGCGCTCTGTCCCGCAGACGCGCGCAAAGCCGGCAGGAGCAGCGCCTTCCCCCGCCGCTTGCGCGCCACGTGTCGCGGGGTCTGCAGCAGCTGGAGACTCTCACCCCTGTAAATGTGCATATCAGAAGGCTGCCAACCCACACCACACACTCCAAGCACAGTCTTTACTCTTAGTGGATTATGATAGACCACTAACTGACAAGTCTTTTTGTTTACGATGGATAGCAACGTGTGCAATGTGTTGAAACTGTACGTTCGACAATCTACATTTCCGCCTAGCGCAAAATGTGCTTGGACTTTGTTATTTGCGTTTTCATTGCATACATAAAGATGTGACGAAGTACAGGCAGAAAAGCATGAATGAATTCAGTGTTTTGTGGCGTTTGTTCGCGAACTCATCCGAGGATCATAAAACCATGACCTAAATTAGAGCCGCTTCTGTCAGAGAGAGTCAAGGACGCTATCCGTGCAGTGCGCGCTTTCGGTCTGAAATATCTTCACACTGGCTCGCATTCCGATAAACCCGATCGAGCTCTCAGTGGGCGTGGTTTTCCCAGGCTTTTAGAACAGCAGCTGCTATTTACCTTCCCTCTAATGTAAACCACCACCGCCACCCCTAGCCCGCCAGCCAAACCTCAACCACCGAGGTAATAAAACATCCTGGCACGTGCTCCACATTCACAATAGAGCTCGTGAGCCGACAGATGTCAAAATGCCAACAGCAGCGACGCGCTTAAAGAAATAGCTACACCTCTGCCTTGTCAAATGCACTACAAAGTAAAATGTTTAAAACACCAACATTTAAAGCCTAGATTTAATTGCTTTTTAAAGTTAAATCAAAACTTTAGACTGCAGTGATAATTATGCAAATATTTTAATCACTTTAAATCGAACGAGAACGATTATAATGAGAAGTTGAACTGATTTCCTACAGTGTAACTTTGCAGAGGAAGTAAAACAGTTGAAGTAAAACATTCCTTTTTTTCAGATTTCTAAAAATAAGACCACTTAAAATGTTACATTGTAACATACACATTCCGGTCTTCACAACAGGCAGTTTATTTCGGTTGTAGTAAAAGGCAAACTCACATGCATTTCATTTAACCTTTTTGACATTAATATTGCAATAGTACACTTTTCGTCTTAAACTTTCTATAATGAGCAGGGCGTATGTATATTTTTAGTTTTCTTACTTAGTTTCAATGGATCTATATGTGTATTGAATTATAATTACAAAGTTTGCTGTTTCTTTGCTGAGACTGGCTCTTAAGTGTTAATATGTAAACTGAATGATTTAAGGCAGTCCCGGTTGTGCCCTAAACCCGACCGCGCGCCATTGGCCACCCGCTCAAACGCTAAACAACCAATGGAGGGGCGCCGACCACGAGCCATCCTCCCCTCGGGCCGCGTGTCCCTCACGCTGATTGGTAGAAAGTTACTGTGGGAAAGAAAGTTTGGGAAGTTTCACACGAGCCGTTCGCGTGCAGTCGGAGATATAAATAAGACCAAGACGACGCTGAGGCAGGCAGTTGCTACGACCGCTGGCAAACGGTGAAATCAGAGACTGTGACATCATTGCCGCACCAGTTGAACTCGGGACACTTCGTGCGGATATCCATTCATATCTGGAACTGTATCTGCGTACAGCGTTCACTCTAGTAGAAGATACAGTTGGATTTCTTTAAAAAAAAAAAATCTCAAAGGATACTTCCCAGAGAAGATGCCTGCCGATATCATGGAAAAAAACTCCTCTTCTCCGGTTGCCGCGACTCCGGCGAGCATGAACACTACACCTGATAAACCCAAAACGGCTTCTGAGCACAGAAAGGTTTGTAGCCTATTGATTCTGAACTGTAGCGCATTTATTTTCAAACAGCGCGCATATGCGCTCTATGATGCATTGAGAAATAGCTCCCGAAGTAGTTAGAAAATTTGACTTATTTTTTTCTTTTGCATTTTAGTCTTCTAAACCTATTATGGAGAAAAGAAGAAGAGCGAGAATCAACGAAAGCTTGGGTCAGCTGAAAACGCTAATCTTGGATGCTCTGAAAAAAGATGTAAGTAGCCTACTGGATATCTGATTGATTCTTACAATTACATCTGGATTGAATACTGATGAATCTCATCACATAGCCACCTATATCTAAATCAATCCCTATTTTCACACAGAGCTCCAGACATTCTAAACTCGAGAAAGCGGACATCCTGGAGATGACAGTGAAACATCTTAGAAATATGCAGCGGGCACAAATGACCGGTAAGTCGCCAGTCTAATGAACAATCAGAAAATAAGTAGCTTTATGAGAACTTCCATGCAGGTTTCTGCACTTGTTTTAAATGCTGCGAGATATTTTTTTCCCTCTACTGAATTCAACTAGACTGAAAGCAGTTTTATGAATGACTCAAAACAGTTTCACGTTCATCTACTCCAAATGATCTGACCGAATGTCTTACCTCATTCTCCCAACAGCTGCTCTGAACACGGACCCCACCGTTCTTGGGAAATACAGAGCTGGATTCAGTGAATGCATGAACGAGGTGACCCGGTTTCTGTCCACCTGTGAAGGGGTTAACACCGAGGTCAGGACCCGGCTGCTAGGTCACTTAGCAGGCTGCATGACACAGATCAACGCCATGAATTATCCAACACAGCACCAGATACCTGCCGGGCCTCCTCATCCATCCTTCAGTCAGCCAATGGTTCAGATCCCCAGCGCGACTCAGCAAGCCAACGTTGTGCCTCTTAGCGGAGTCCCCTGCAAAAGCGGATCTTCCTCCAACTTGACTTCCGAGGCAACAAAAGTATATGGAGGTTTCCAACTTGTGCCGGCAACGGACGGACAGTTCGCCTTTTTGATTCCCAACGCTGCCTTTGCTCCAAACGGTCCCGTTATTCCAGTGTATGCCAACAATTCCAGCACACCGGTGCCGGTGGCCGTGTCTCCGGGAGCACCGTCCGTCACGTCAGATTCCGTTTGGCGGCCTTGGTAGACTATACCTATGGAAAGCAAAAAGAAAAACTCTTAAAGACTCTTAAAATACAAATGACACTTGTTTTCTTTGTTCAGCGTTCATTTTTGTTCTTTTTGTATGAAAATGTGTTTTAAGAGATGATGCACTATATTTGTATAGATCAAAAGGGAGAGAAGTTCATATTGAAATAAGTTTTGTATTGTTGAATTCCGTTCAATGCATTTTTTATATTTGCGGTATCTTTTCCACGTTGTGATGCCAAAGATATGTCGAATGCGCTTTCAAGTTTCTTCTTTTTGGAAGATAAATAAATGACATATTAAAAATGAAAGTTTTGCTTCGGTGTTTAGTTTTATTCTTTTTCCCCAGTTTGTGAACCTTTTCTTATTCTTACCTTAAAACAAGCAACATCTCGGGCCATATCGCATGCAAATTTAGACTAAATATGCTGCAGTCTTCAAAGAAGCGAAGTGTTTCTCTTAATCATTGAATATCACAAACTCAGGAAAACTTGTGTAAAATTACACTGGCGGAACACATTATACGGCCTCCAGTGTAGTATGTCACATAAGTCGTTCTAAGTATTTTTTCTGTGACTAGGTTTTCGTGGAAAGACGGCGAAGTCAAAAATTATTACAATCCACAATTCAATACAATCCAGTTATTTTTTTATTTATTTTTCTCTTATCACTTAAGAGCATTTTTTTTTATAAAGCTAGAACTAATTGAATTGAAATGACTATTCTCATAAAAAGCGATTAATTTACAATTTGTTTTTACAACTATAATTAGGTATTACGAACCTTTCCGATGACAGGACGAACAGCAACCTGTTGGAAGAAGGTTGAATTAATACCCTTTATATAGCTTTACAGACATTTAAGGATTTTATCACGACAGTTTATAAACATTAGCCTACTGAATGCCGTTTTTAAGTTGTGTGTGATAGCCAGCAAGAAGATTGCAAGAGGATGAAGCTGAATGCAAAGTTCAGCAGCAGAGAGAACGACTGCAAACGATTTTTATTACACGACCATTTAGCGCCATCTAGTAATTAAAATGTGAACTACACCTGCAGAGCCACCGAATGGACTCGTCAACACTTTCAGTTTAAAAGAAGTTTAGGACACTTGTTTGGTAATAACTATCCATATTACTTGGATAATGACAGTTTGGCATTTTATTTATTTATTTATAAAAATTACTACACTCAATAATTGATGATGATAAAGTATTAAGTTAAAAAAGGTATGCTAGGCCTACTTATTAAATACGCTTAGGCGTTTTTATCTGTGTGCATAAAGGATGCAGAAATATTTACACACAACGCATACAGCTTTTTTCGTTTAAAACAGGAAAACACTTGACATGATGAAACGTTTCCTTCTTCATGCATCCCTGTGTTTCCCAGGTGTTTGTTGCCTATAGCTATTTCAGTGTGGCCATTCTTTGAAGGGGGCATTGCAGGTGTTTGCAATTACCTGCTATGAGGCACAAAGTGTGGATAAGTGCAATCATTTTGAATTTCCATCACACCTTTTGTGGTGCCGAGAGTATAGAGATTGAAACCACATGTTAGAGGAAAGCCTGTGAGGACACGTTCATCTCGAAACGGTCACCCTGCTTTTGCCCACCTTAACTTTGAGCGCACCACCATCTCGACAGATTTACAATGTTGTGGCGGGCCACGCATTCATTTCCTGTTTATTAAGGTTACAGCTGGATCCAGAGGCGAGCGGTGCAACCCAAGAAAAAACGCCCGACCCCCTTCAGACGTGCTTCCCCCTTCCTGCCCCTGGAGGACAGCTTTACGAGGGACTCAGGTTACTGGCGCACTGACCACTGTGCCGGGGCGCCCGTGCACATGTCACAACATGACCGGAGGGTTAGCCAGCTTGCATGTCAATTAACTTTTCCCACACTCTGTGCAAATGCAAGAGGCTTGAGAGGAGAAAGAAGGGTAAAAAGGGAGAAAAATAAAAAGGACTAAACAAAAGCCCCCTCTCTGCTTCCTCCTTGGCTCTTAAGTGTTACCATATGGCAAGATCTCTCCCTCTCTCTCCTTCTTTTTCTCCTTCTATCTCTCTCTCCTTCTTTCTCTCTCTTAACTCGTCATCATTACCGCCTTGTCTTTGATTGTAGCCCTGACAAGCCTGGGATTTATGATTTAAGCACATGGATTGCTGTGCCAAGCTCTGGACTCGCTATGCAGCCCTCTTTCTCCCATTCGCACGCCTTTTCCCTCTCTCGCCCTCTCCTGCAGTTGCAGGGGAAAGGCTGTTTTCTGGCAGGAAATGAATAGCTCCCAGATGAGCTGAGGAACCTGAGAGGTCGTGAGAAAGAGGCGAACCCCCTTCCCACAGCCGGCGCACTGCCAGCCGCCGGGGGAATGTGGGAGAGCGTCTCTCTGACACACGCATCAACTCTCCCGCTGCTTGCCCAAACACCCCACCGCCTGCCTGCCAGCAAGCGCTGACGCACAGGGCCCGTCTGAGGGGGGTAGAGCGGAGATGATTGGGGCAGTATGTGGGTAGTTAGACAGCAGAGGCATACGTGAAGACGAGGGCAGGGGACGGGAAGGAGGATGGAATAATGGAAGCCACGACAAGAAGAACACGTTCTCTAAATATAGTTACAGAGGTTATACATGCGCTAAGTGTTTTTATCTGCATGGGGGATATCATTCAGAGGGAAGCAGAAGCTGGAGAGTCGATCACAACTAGCTGCAAATGCAGATAAACAAATGCATTATTCATTATAATATTCACTTCGATTTACCCTTGAATATATTACCTTGTGATGATCACTGTGCCAAAAAAGTGTCTGTTTAATTACTATGGGTTGTTTCACTTTTATATAAACATAAAGCGTAACTTGGTTTGAGATTGAGAGCCTCTAAACAACTTTTTCAAGTTCTCAGACAGGAGCAGCAATGGTCAAGGGCTTTCATTCTGACAGGAGCAAATAAGGATTAATGTGAATGACCAATGAGTAATCAAAGCGACACTTTTGGCACAGGAGATGAAGGAGATGCCAAAAGATCTGCAGTATTTAAAGTTAAAGGAAAACAAATACATAAACACTATATAGATGCACGGAAATTCTTACAAAAGAAAAAAGGAATATATTTATTTTGCCTATATGGCAAAAAAGGGGATCATTTTAAAATGTACAGCTTAAGACAATCCACTTAGTATTGAAATGTTTTGGCTTAATGTGGCTTGTTATTATGTATAACAAGCTAATACGAATATATTTTAAGGGGTCATATGATGCGATTTCAAGTTTTCCTTTCTCTTTGGAGTGTTACAAGCTCTTGGTGCATAAAGAAGATCTGTAAAGTTGCAAAGACTAAAGTCTCAAATCCAAAGAGATATTCTTTATAAAAGTTAATTAAAATAGCATCATATGACCCCTTTAATATCTAATATATGCTGCTGTTCAAACGTTTGGGGTTGCTAAGATTTTTTTACGTTTTTGAAAAAAGTCTCAACAATGCTGCAGTAATAGTAAATACAGTAATATAGTGAAAATTGTTACAATTTAAAATTCTATTATAATTTTACAGTATTTTATTGTAAATATTTCACAATGGAATTTATTCATGTGATAGCAAATCTGAATTTTCACTGAGTCCTTCATAAATCACTGTAATATGCTGATTTGGTTTTTAAAAACATTTCTTATTACTATATGTTGAAAACAGTTGTGGTGTTTCATATTTTTGTGCAAACATTGATACACTTAAGATCTATTTCATGTGTTCTTCATGAATAAAAGTATTAATTTCCCTTAAAAGAAAAGAAAAATATAAATAAACAAATAAACAGACAAACAAACTTACTGACCCCAAACTTTTAAATGGCAGTGTATATATATATATATATATATATATATATATATATTAAGCTGTGTGCTTATATTTTTATGCTATCTCTCAACTAAAAGCTTCTCCATAGCAAAGACAAATATGTAAAGACATAAAGTGCATCTAATAAGGGTATAAAACAGTCTGTGAATCCAGTTTGTAACTCTTGTATACACCATTTTATTTTAAATCTTCTAATTAATAATGGATCGACCAGTTACATAATATTGAATTTACAGTTGCAGTAGCTCTCCTGCACTTTTTGGTTGCTTTTGTAGTTCTTTTCCTGTAAATCAACTACAATAAAATCAATACATTTCCTTTCTGGATGTCTAATGTCTCTGGTGGTTTGTATTTGTGTGAATACTGACACTTTACCGGCACTTTTCGTTTGAATCTAAAGCTGCAAGGTTTTTTTGGTCAAGGAGAGACGGATATGAACTTCAAGAGATAAAAAGGATTCAAGCAGGTGTGAGGACACGTGTTTCCTGTGATAGGCTTGGGTGATGTCCGTCAGGACCTTTGGGAATCTCCTAGGATGTATATTTAAACACACAGACACGCATAGCCTATACAGACATATGCATGAGACAGACACATAAAAGCAACTCTGTGGCTGTTGTTGTTTTTCTACTTCAAACAACTTAACAGCTCTAGGAAATGTTTTAAAGCTTAGTTCATTTTTCAGCTTGTGTACTACAATCTTACAGAACACACACCGTTTTAATCCTAGAGTCAAATTATTATATGCTTCAGTCTACATTCTTTCCTTAAGATTAGGTGGTGCTTGTATTCTGAAATCTCGCTCATAGGTGATGTTTTGTTCTCATTGTCATTCTTCTGGACTTTGCGGTACCAGATAGAGAGGCTCATATCATGCTAAAGGTTCCATGAGCTTCTGAAACACAGGGATGTGAAATGGCATTATCCCACCGCCTCTCACACCGTCCACGCAAAATGGTTTAAGCCACAGCGATGCTTCCGTGGGCCACTGGCTAATCCCCTTTCTTGTATAAAACCAGTGGCGGGACCGCTACAGCGCTGGGCAGTGCGATAGTGCACTAGTGTGACAAGCCATTAAAGTGCCCTACTGTCTGTGTGTTTATTTACATTCTTGTCTTTCAGATCCACCACAGAGCTTTTATTCTTGCCAGCAATCACTCTAGGAAGGTACTCTGATCTGACACCCACAGGCTGCTGTTCTGCCGATGCTCTTTTGCATCAGACATAATGAGACGGTTAGGGGTGGGCATGCTAAGGTTGCGTCATGTGTGTCATATCTTTTGAATGTCCAATTTTTAAGAGGGTTACTTATGTTTGTATTCTTTCTTTCTTACAAAAGTTAGTTGTAGGGCAGTCAAGAATGTTCAAAAGGTAATTGAGTCCTGTATCAGAATCTACGAATGCCCCCTGGTGGCTTCAAAGACATACTGCAAATTTAAAAGTGTACATG